ACTGTGAGACACAACTGAGAGACACAACTATGAGACACAACTGAGAGACACAACTATGAGACACAACTGTGAGACACAACTATGAGACACAACTATGAGACACAACTGTGAGACACAACTGTGAGACACAACTGTGAGACACAACTCTGTCCTGGCTCCTCTTTCATGAATCGATCCGTGACGCACTGCTCAAAGAAGCAGTGGTTCAGAAGGGGAGGGGTCGAGTCTGGGGGGTTTCTAATATCAGCCTGGACCTGGATGGAGCTAAAAACAACTCCAGGTCTCTTTATTCAGGAAACAATATTCACTGAAAGAAACCGTTTCTAAACACAGAGTGAGACCAGAAGAGCTGTGTGTGTGTGTGTGTGCGTGTCTCTGTGTGTGTGTGCGTGTGCATATGTGTCTGTGTGTGTCTCTGTGTGTGTGTGCGTGTGTGTATCTGTGTGTGTGTGCGTGTGTGTCTCTGTATGTGTGTGCGTGTGATATTGGAATGTAACTTAAGTTATCATTTTGGTAAATCATATGTGGCTATGTGCTGAATGCTCTTTACTGTAATTCACTTTAGCTTCAGGAAGACATCAGGAGGTCTGGGGAGCTCATATGCTAAGTGTCTTTTGTTGTGTTGGTTTCTTCCTTTCCCATCTGCATACGAAGGTGTGTCTTGTTCTACCAAAAGGGGCTTGCCATCTGTGAATCTTCAGACTTGTCCTGAGAGAGGCTGGGTCTGTGCCTTGCCTCTGTCAAGACTTTCTCCTTGTACAATGTAACGAGTAAAAGATTAACTTTGTCTCTTTGTTGTGTGAGATTTCATCAGGTTCAACTGTAGTTGAAACAGCATTATCAGCGTGTTACCCAGTCCAGTGTCTGTGAACCAGGAGGTGTTGGAGTTCAGGTTGATGTAATGCAGAGACAGAGGCAGCAGGGGGCAGGCTCCCGGGGACACGCCGGTGCAGACCATGGGGTACTCCTGATGAGGCACCAGCACCATCTCAAAGACCCTCAGGGGGGAGGGTAGGGGGAAGTCGAAGGTCTGCAACACAACGGTCACCACGGTAACAGCGGGTGGTTAGTCTGAGGGGGCGTGGTCAGTCTGAGGGGGTGTGGTCAGTCTGAGGGGGCGTGGTCAGTCTGAGGGGGTGTGGTCAGTCTGAAGGATCGGACTGGCCGCATCCGGCAACAACAACAGATCAGAGACACATCACACCACTCTTGATGCTTCTTTCTCCCCCTCGGTCTGAACACTTGTCTCACCCTCGGTCTGAACACCCGTCCCCCTCTTGGTCTGAACACCTGTCTCCCTCTCGGTCTGAACACTTGTCTCCCCCTCGGTCTGAACACTCGTCTCCCCCTCAGTATGAACACCCGTCTCCCCCTCGGTCTGAACACCCGTCTCCCCCTCGGTCTGAACACCCGTCTCCCCCTCAGTCTGAACACCCGTCTCCTCCTCGGTCTGAACACCCATCTCCTCCTCGGTATGAACACCCGTCTCCCCCTCGTCTCCTCCTCGGTCTGAACACCCGTCTCCCCCTCGTCTCCCCCTCGGCCTGAACACCTATCTCCCCCTTGGCCTGAACACCTGTCTCCTCCCCAGTCTGAACACCTGTCTCACCCTCGGTCTGAACACCTGTCTCCTCCTCGGTCTGAACACCTGTCTCACCCTCGGTCTGAACACCTGTCTCACCCTCGGTCTGAACACCTGTCTCCTCCTCGGTCTGAACACCTGTCTCACCCTCGGTCTGAACACCTGTCTCACCCTCGGTCTGAACACCTGTCTCACCCTCGGTCTGAACACCTGTCTCACCCTCGGTCTGAACACCCGTCTCCTCCTCGGTATGAACACCCGTCTCCCCCTCGTCTCCTCCTCGGTCTGAACACCCGTCTCCCCCTCGTCTCCCCCTCGGCCTGAACACCTATCTCCTCCTCGGTATGAACACCCGTCTCCCCCTCGTCTCCTCCTCGGTCTGAACACCCGTCTCCCCCTCGTCTCCCCCTCGGTCTGAACACCCATCTCCTCCTCGGTATGAACACCCGTCTCCCCCTCGTCTCCTCCTCGGTCTGAACACCCGTCTCCCCCTCGTCTCCCCCTCGGCCTGAACACCTATCTCTCCCTCGGCCTGAACACCTGTCTCCTCCCCGGTCTGAACACCTGTCTCACCCTCGGTCTGAACACCTGTCTCACCCTCGGTCTGAACACCCGTCTCTCTGTAAACAGGACTGACCTTGATGAGCATGAACTTCCTCAGGGGCTCGTACCACTGCAGCAGCACCACACTGCTGTCCAGCGCACAACACAGGAACACACTGCCCTGCAGGCTGCCTGTGGACACACAACACACACAGATGCACACCCACAACACACACACATAGATACACACAACACACACACACAGACGCACACAAACACACACACAGACAAAACGCACACAACATAGACACACACAACACACAGACACACAAACACACACAGACAAAACACACACAACATAGACACACAACACACACATACATACACACTCAGACACACACACAGACACACAAACACACAACACACACACACACAGACAAACACACACACACACACACACAAACACACACACAAACACACAGAAACACACACAAACACAAACACACAGACACACACACACACACAAACACACACACACACACACAAACACACAGACACACACAGACACACACAAACACACACACACACACACACACACACAAACACATAAACACACACACACACACACACACACACACAAACACACAAACACACAAACACACAAACACACACACACACACACGTATTCATTATTTTGTCATTGGGACATGAACCATGCTGTTTTCCAGGTCCTCATAAGTCCACACACTTCAACACTTGTAGAGTGCAGACCCGTGCCAAGAGGCACAGTTCCATTCCCTATAATCCTGAAGACGGTGTAAACAAATGTAATCATTTCTGTGAGACTGTGACTGTTGCTAAGAGACGGACATCCTCCTGGCAGAGGTATGTGTGTCGAGAGTCTCACCTGCACAGCACGTCTGGCATCCTTTGGTGTCAGGGATTTTAGTGGTCACTGCAGGTCTCCTGCACACAGGTACAGAAGACACAGGTACAGAAGACACAGGGACAGAGGACACAGGTACAGAAGACACAGGTACAGAAGACACAGGGACAGAGGACACAGGTACAGAAGACACAGGGACAGAGGACACAGGTACAGAAGACACAGGTACAGAGCACACAGGTACAGAAGACACAGGTAAAGAGCACACAGTTACAGAGGACACAGGTACAGAAGACACAGGTACAGAGCACACAGGTACAGAGGACACAGGTACAGAAGACACAGGTACAGAGCACACAGGTACAGAGGACACAGGTACAGAGGACACAGGTACAGAGCACACAGGTACAGAAGACACAGGTACAGAAGACACAGGTACAGAAGACACAGGTACAGACCACACAGGTACAGTAAGACACAGGTACAGAGGACACAGGTACAGAGGACACAGGTACAGAGGACACAGGGAGTGAGGACACAGGGACACAGGTACAGAGGACACAGGGACAGAGGGACAGAGGACACAGGGATAGAGGACACAGGGACAGAGGACACAGGGACAGAGGATACAGGTACAGAGGACACAGGGAGTGAGGACACAGGGACACAGGTACAGAGGACACAGGGACAGAGGACACAGGGACAGAGGACACAGGTACAGAGGACACAGGGACAGAGGGACAGAGGACACAGGGACAGAGGAACACAGGGACAGAGGAACACAGGGACAGAGTACACAGGGACACAGGGACAGAGGACACAGGTACAGAGGACACAGGGACAGAGGACAGAGGGACAGAGGGACAGAGGACACAAGTACAGAGGACACAGGGACAGAGGACACAGGGACAGAGGACACAGGTACAGAGGACACAGGTACAGAGAACAGAGGGACACAGGACACAGGTACAGAGGACACAGGTACAGAGGACACAGGGACAGAGGACACAGGTACAGAGGACACAGGTACTTGGGCAGCAGGCGGTGTGTTGGGAGGCGCAGGTCGCGGCGACTCTGATCAAACAGTTCTTTGAGAAAATGAGTGTGCAGCTGAGACGACTTTCCTGAAACACACGTTTATGTTTTATATCAGCCTCACTGTCCTCTCTTCTGTGAGTCTGGGTCTGAGTCTGGGTCTGAGTCTGGGTCTGAGTCTGGTGGCTCTGAATCTGAGTTTTACCAGAGACTGAGATGAGGACGTTGTTGATGTGATAAACCCAGGAGCACCTCCCTGGAAACAACTGAGACACAGAAGATCAGTGTCATCAGTATCATCAGTATCATCAGTATCATCAGTATCATCAGTATCATCAGTGTCATCAGTGTCATCAGTGTCATCAGTGTCATCATTGTCATCAGTGTCATCAGTATCATCAGTGTCATCAGTATCATCAGTATCATCAGTGTCATCAGTATCATCAGTGTAATCAGTGTCATCAGTATCATCAGTGTCATCAGTGTCATCAGTATCATCAGTGTCATCAGTGTAATCAGTGTAATCAGTGTCATCAGTATCATCAGTGTCATCAGTGTCATCAGTATGATCAGTGTCATCAGTGTCATCAATGTCAGTGTCATCAGTATCATCAGTGTCATCAGTGTCATCATTGTCATCAGTGTCATCAGTGTCATCAGTGTCATCAGTATCATCAGTGTCATCAGTGTCATCAGTATCATCAGTGTCATCAGTATCATCAGTATCATCAGTGTCATCAGTATCATCGGTGTAATCAGTGTCATCAGTATCATCAGTGTCATCAGTGTCATCAGTATCATCAGTGTAATCAGTGTAATCAGTGTAGTCAGTGTCATCAGTGTAGTCAGTGTCATCAGTGTCATCAGTGTCATCAGTGTCATCAGTGTCATCAGTATCATCAGTGTCATCAGTATCATCAGTGTAATCAGTGTCATCAGTATCATCAGTGTAATCAGTATCATCAGTGTCATCAGTGTCAGTGTCATCAGTATCATCAGTGTCATCAGTGTCATCAGTGTCATCAGTATCATCAGTGTCATCAGTGTCATCAGTGTCATCAGTATCATCAGTGTCATCAGTGTCATCAGTGTCATCAGTATCATCAGTGTAATCAGTATCATCAGTGTCATCAGTATCATCAGTATCATCAGTGCAATCAGTGTAATCAGTGTAGTCAGTGTAGTCAGTGTCATCAGTGTCATCAGTGTCATCAGTATCATCAGTGTAATCAGTGTCATCAGTATCATCAGTGTAATCAGTATCATCAGTGTCATCAGTGTCAGTGTCATCAGTGTCATCAGTATCATCAGTGTCATCAGTGTCATCAGTATCATCAGTGTCATCAGTATCATCAGTGTCATCAGTATCATCAGTGTCATCAGTGTCATCAGTATCATCAGTGTAATCAGTATCATCAGTGTCATCAGTATCATCAGTATCATCAGTGTAATCAGTATCATCAGTGTCATCAGTGTCAGTGTCATCAGTGTCATCAGTGTCATCAGTATCATCAGTGTCATCAGTATCATCAGTGTCATCAGTATCATCAGTGTCATCAGTGTCATCAGTATCATCAGTGTAATCAGTATCATCAGTGTCATCAGTATCATCAGTATCATCAGTGTAATCAGTGTAATCAGTGTCATCAGTGTCATCAGTGTCATCAGTGTCATCAGTGTCATCAGTATCATCAGTGTCATCAGTATCATCAGTGTAATCAGTGTAATCAGTATCATCAGTGTAATCAGTGTAATCAGTGTAATCAGTATCATCAGTGTCATCAGTGTCATCAGTGTCATCAGTATCATCAGTGTCATCAGTATCATCAGTATCATCAGTGTCATCAGTGTCATCAGTGTCATCAGTGTCATCAGTATCATCAGTGTCATCAGTATCATCAGTATCATCAGTGTCATCAGTATCATCAGTATCATCAGTGTCATCAGTGTAATCAGTGTCATCAGTGTCATCAGTATCATCAGTGTCATCAGTGTCATCAGTATCATCAGTGTCATCAGTGTCATCAGTGTCATCAGTGTCATCAGTATGATCAGTGTGTCATCAGTGTCATCAATGTCAGTATCATCAGTATCATCAGTGTCATCAGTATCATCAGTGTCATCAGTGTCATCAGTATCATCAGTGTCATCAGTGTCATCAGTGTCATCAGTGTCATCAGTATCATCAGTATCATCAGTGTCATCAGTGTCATCAGTATCATCAGTATCATCAGTGTCATCAGTATCATCAGTATCATCAGTGTCATCAGTGTAATCAGTGTCATCAGTGTCATCAGTATCATCAGTGTCATCAGTGTCATCAGTGTCATCAGTATCATCAGTGTCATCAGTGTCATCAGTGTCATCAGTATGATCAGTGTCATCAGTGTCATCAGTGTCATCAATGTCAGTATCATCAGTATCATCAGTGTCATCAGTATCATCAGTGTAATCAGTGTAATCAGTGTCATCAGTATCATCAGTATCATCAGTGTCATCAGTATCATCAGTGTCATCAGTGTCATCAGTATCATCAGTGTCATCAGTATCATCAGTGTAATCAGTGTAATCAGTATCATCAGTGTCATCAGTATCATCAGTGTAATCAGTGTAATCAGTGTAGTCAGTGTCATCAGTGTCATCAGTGTCATCAGTGTCATCAGTGTCATCAGTGTCATCAGTATCATCAGTATCATCAGTGTCATCAGTGTAATCAGTGTAATCAGTGTCATCAGTATCATCAGTGTAATCAGTATCATCAGTGTCATCAGTGTCATCAGTATCATCAGTGTAATCAGTGTAATCAGTGGCATCAGTGTCATCAGTGTCATCAGTGTCATCAGTGTCATCAGTGTCATCAGTTCATCAGTATCATCAGTGGCATCAGTGGCATCAGTGGCATCCAGTGTCATCAGTGTCATCAGTGTCATCAGTGTCATCAGTGTCATCAGTGTCATCAGTGTCATCAGTGTAATCAGTGTCATCAGTGTCATCAGTATCATCAGTGTAATCAGTGTCATCAGTGTCATCAGTGTCATCAGTGTCATCAGTATCATCAGTGTCATCAGTATCATCAGTGTAATCAGTGTCATCAGTGTCATCAGTATCATCAGTGTCATCAGTGTTCAGTATCATCAGTGTCATCAGTGTCATCAGTGTCATCAGTGTCATCAGTGTCATCAGTGTCAGTGTCATCAGTGTCATCAGTGTCATCAGTGTCATCAGTATCATCAGTGTCATCAGTGTCATCAGTTCATCAGTGTCATCAGTATCATCAGTATCTCATGTCATCAGTGTCATCAGTATCATCAGTGTCATCAGTGTCATCAGTTCATCAGTGTCATCAGTGTCATCAGTGTCATCAGTGTCATCAGTATCATCAGTGTCATCAGTGTCATCAGTGTCATCAGTATCATCAGTATCATCAGTGTCATCAGTTCATCAGTATCATCAGTGTCATCAGTGTCATCAGTGTCATCAGTGTCATCAGTGTCATCAGTGTCATCAGTGTCATCAGTCACAGTGTCATCATCATCAGTGTCATCATGTCATCAGTGTCATCAGTGTCATCAGTGTCATCAGTGTCATCAGTGTCATCAGTATGATCAGTGTCATCAGTGTCATCAGTGTCATCAATGTCAGTATCATCAGTATCATCAGTGTCATCAGTATCATCAGTGTAATCAGTGTAATCAGTGTCATCAGTATCATCAGTATCATCAGTGTCATCAGTATCATCAGTGTCATCAGTGTCATCAGTATCATCAGTGTCATCAGTATCATCAGTGTAATCAGTGTAATCAGTATCATCAGTGTCATCAGTATCATCAGTGTAATCAGTGTAATCAGTGTAGTCAGTGTCATCAGTGTCATCAGTGTCATCAGTGTCATCAGTGTCATCAGTGTCATCAGTATCATCAGTATCATCAGTGTCATCAGTGTAATCAGTGTAATCAGTGTCATCAGTATCATCAGTGTAATCAGTATCATCAGTGTCATCAGTGTCATCAGTATCATCAGTGTATCAGTGTAATCAGTGTAATCAGGTATCAGTGGCATCAGTGTCATCAGTGTCATCAGTGTCATCAGTGTCATCAGTGTCTCATCAGTATCATCAGTGGCATCAGTGGCATCAGTGTCATCAGTGTCATCAGTGTCATCAGTGTCATCAGTGTCATCAGTGTCATCAGTGTCATCAGTGTAATCAGTGTCATCAGTGTCATCAGTATCATCAGTGTAATCAGTGTAGTCAGTGTCATCAGTGTCATCAGTGTCATCAGTATCATCAGTGTCATCAGTATCATCAGTGTAATCAGTGTCATCAGTGTCATCAGTATCATCAGTGTCATCAGTGTGATCAGTATCATCAGTGTAATCAGTGTCATCAGTGTCATCAGTGTCATCAGTGTCATCAGTGTCAGTGTCATCAGTGTCATCAGTGTCATCAGTGTCATCAGTATCATCAGTATCATCAGTGTCATCAGTATCATCAGTGTCATCAGTATCATCAGTATCATCAGTGTCATCAGTGTCATCAGTATCATCAGTGTAATCAGTATCATCAGTGTCATCAGTATCATCAGTATCATCAGTGTCATCAGTGTCATCAGTATCATCAGTGTCATCAGTGTCATCAGTGTCATCACTGTCATCAGTATCATCAGTGTCATCAGTATCATCAGTATCATCAGTGTCATCAGTGTCATCAGTATCATCAGTGTCATCAGTGTCATCAGTGTCATCACTGTCATCAGTATCATCAGTGTCATCAGTGTCATCAGTGTCATCAGTGTCATCAGTGTCATCAGTATCATCAGTGTCATCAGTGTCATCAGTGTCATCAGTGTCATCAGTATCATCAGTGTCATCAGTGTCATCAGTGTCATCAGTGTCATCAGTGTCATCAGTGTCATCAGTGTCATCAGTGTCATCAGTATCATCAGTGTCATCAGTGTCATCAGTATCATCAGTGTCATCAGTGTCATCAGTATCATCAGTATCATCAGTATCATCAGTGTCATCAGTGTCATCAGTGTCATCAGTGTCATCAGTATCATCAGTGTCATCAGTATCATCAGTGTAATCAGTGTAATCAGTGTCATCAGTATCATCAGTGTCATCAGTGTCATCAGTATGATCAGTGTCATCAGTGTCATCAATGTAAGTGTCATCAGTGTCATCAGTGTCATCAGTGTCATCAGTGTCATCAGTATCATCAGTATCATCAGTGTCATCAGTATCATCAGTGTCATCAGTATGATCAGTGTCATCAGTGTCATCAGTGTCATCAATGTCAGTGTCATCAGTGTCATCAGTGTCATCAGTGTCATCAGTGTCATCAGTGTCATCAGTATCATCAGTATATCAGTATCATCAGTGTCATCAGTATCATCAGTGTAATCAGTGTCATCAGTGTCATCAGTATGATCAGTGTCGTCAGTGTCGTCAGTGTCATCAGTATCATCAGTATCATCAGTGTCATCAGTATCATCAGTGTCATCAGTATCATCAGTATCATCAGTGTCATCAGTGTCATCAGTATCATCAGTGTAATCAGTATCATCAGTGTCATCAGTATCATCAGTATCATCAGTGTCATCAGTGTCATCAGTATCATCAGTGTCATCACTGTCATCAGTATCATCAGTGTCATCAGTGTCATCAGTATCATCAGTGTCATCAGTGTCATCAGTGTCATCAGTGTCATCAGTATCATCAGTGTCATCAGTATCATCAGTGTAATCAGTGTAATCAGTGTCATCAGTATCATCAGTGTCATCAGTGTCATCAGTATGATCAGTGTCATCAGTGTCATCAATGTAAGTGTCATCAGTGTCATCAGTGTCATCAGTGTCATCAGTGTCATCAGTGTCATCAGTATCATCAGTATCATCAGTGTCATCAGTATCATCAGTGTCATCAGTATGATCAGTGTCATCAGTGTCATCAGTGTCATCAATGTCAGTGTCATCAGTGTCATCAGTGTCATCAGTGTCATCAGTATCATCAGTATATCAGTGTCATCAGTATCATCAGTATGATCAGTATGATCAGTGTCGTCAGTGTCGTCAGTGTCATCAGTGTCATCAGTGTCATCAGTGTCATCAGTATCATCAGTATCATCAGTGTCATCAGTGTCATCAGTATCATCAGTGTCATCAGTATCATCAGTATCATCAGTGTCATCAGTGTCATCAGTGTCATCAGTATCATCAGTGTAATCAGTATCATCAGTGTCATCAGTATCATCAGTATCATCAGTGTCATCAGTGTCATCAGTATCATCAGTGTCATCACTGTCATCAGTATCATCAGTGTCATCAGTGTCATCAGTGTCATCAGTGTCATCAGTGTCATCAGTGTCATCAGTATCATCAGTGTCATCAGTGTAATCAGTGTCATCAGTGTCATCAGTGTCATCAGTGTCAGTGTCATCAGTATCATCAGTGTCATCAGTGTCATCAGTGTCATCAGTGTCATCAGTGTCATCAGTGTCATCAGTATCATCAGTGTCATCAGTGTCATCAGTGTCATCAGTGTCATCAGTGTCATCAGTATCATCAGTATCATCAGTATCATCAGTATCATCAGTATCATCAGTGTCATCAGTGTCATCAGTGTCATCAGTATCATCAGTGTCATCAGTATCATCAGTGTAATCAGTGTAATCAGTGTCATCAGTATCATCAGTGTCATCAGTGTCATCAGTATGATCAGTGTCATCAGTGTCATCAATGTAAGTGTCATCAGTGTCATCAGTGTCATCAGTGTCATCAGTGTCATCAGTGTCATCAGTATCATCAGTATCATCAGTGTCATCAGTATCATCAGTGTCATCAGTATGATCAGTGTCATCAGTGTCATCAATGTCAGTGTCATCAGTGTCATCAGTGTCATCAGTGTCATCAGTATCATCAGTATATCAGTATCATCAGTGTCATCAGTATCATCAGTGTAATCAGTGTCATCAGTGTCATCAGTATGATCAGTGTCATCAGTGTCATCAGTGTCATCAATGTCAGTGTCAACAGTGTCATCAATGTCAGTGTCATCAGTGTCATCAGTGTCATCAGTGTCATCAGTGTCATCAGTGTCATCAGTGTCATCAGTATCATCAGTATCATCAGTGTCATCAGTATCATCAGTGTCATCAGTGTCATCAGTGTCATCAGTGTCATCAGTATCATCAGTGTCATCAGTGTCATCAGTGTCATCAGTATCATCAGTGTCATCAGTGTAATCAGTGTAATCAGTGTCATCAGTGTCATCATTGTCAGTGTCATCAGTATCATCAGTGTCATCAGTGTCATCAGTGTCATCAGTGTCATCAGTGTCATCAGTGTCATCAGTGTCATCAGTATCATCAGTGTCATCAGTGTCATCAGTATCATCAGTATCATCAGTATCATCAGTATCATCAGTGTCATCAGTGTCATCAGTGTCATCAGTATCATCAGTGTCATCAGTATCATCAGTGTAATCAGTGTAATCAGTGTCATCAGTATCATCAGTGTCATCAGTGTCATCAGTATGATCAGTGTCATCAGTGTCATCAATGTCAGTGTCATCAGTGTCATCAGTGTCATCAGTGTCATCAGTATCATCAGTATCATCAGTGTCATCAGTATCATCAGTGTCATCAGTATGATCAGTGTCATCAGTGTCATCAATGTCAGTGTCATCAGTGTCATCAGTGTCATCAGTGTCATCAGTGTCATCAGTGTCATCAGTATCATCAGTATCATCAGTGTCATCAGTATCATCAGTGTAATCAGTGTCATCAGTGTCATCAGTATGATCAGTGTCATCAGTGTCATCAGTGTCATCAATGTCAGTGTCATCAGTGTCATCAATGTCAGTGTCATCAGTGTCATCAGTGTCATCAGTGTCATCAGTGTCATCAGTATCATCAGTGTCATCAGTATCATCAGTGTCATCAGTATGATCAGTGTCATCAGTGTCATCAGTGTCATCAATGTCAGTGTCATCAGTGTCATCAGTGTCATCAGTGTCATCAGTGTCATCAGTATCATCAGTATCATCAGTATCATCAGTGTCATCAGTATCATCAGTGTCATCAGTGTCATCAGTATCATCAGTGTCATCAGTGTCATCAGTATCATCAGTGTCATCAGTGTAATCAGTGTCATCAGTATCATCAGTGTAATCAGTGTAATCAGTGTAGTCAGTGTCATCAGTGTCATCAGTGTCATCAGTGTCATCAGTATCATCAGTATCATCAGTATCATCAGTGTCATCAGTGTAATCAGTGTAATCAGTGTAGTCAGTGTCATCAGTGTCATCAGTGTCATCAGTGTCATCAGTGTCATCAGTGTCATCAGTATCATCAGTATCATCAGTGTCATCAGTATCATCAGTGTAATCAGTGTCATCAGTATCATCAGTGTAATCAGTATCATCAGTGTCATCAGTATCATCAGTGTCATCAGTATCATCAGTGTCATCAGCGTCATCAGTATCATCAGTGTAATCAGTATCATCAGTGTCATCAGTGTCATCAGTGTCATCAGTGTCATCAGTATCATCAGTGTCATCAGTGTCATCAGTGTCATCAGTATCATCAGTGTCATCAGTATCATCAGTATCATCAGTGTCATCAGTATCATCAGTATCATCAGTGTCATCAGTGTAATCAGTGTCATCAGTGTCATCAGTATCATCAGTGTCATCAGTGTCATCAGTATCATCAGTATCATCAGTGTCATCAGTATCATCAGTGTAATCAGTGTCATCAGTATCATCAGTGTAATCAGTATCATCAGTGTCATCAGTATCATCAGTGTAATCAGTGTAATCAGTGTAGTCAGTGTCATCAGTGTTATCAGTATCATCAGTGTAATCAGTGTCATCAGTGTCATCAGTGTCATCAGTGTAATCAGTGTCATCAGTATCATCAGTGTCATCAGTGTCATCAGTGTCATCAGTGTCATCAGTATCATTAGTGTCATCAGTATCATCAGTGTCATCAGTGTCATCAGTGTAATCAGTGTCATCAGTGTCATCAGTGTCATCAGTGTCATCAGTATCATCAGTGTCATCAGTATCATCAGTGTCATCAGTGTCATCAGTATCATCAGTATCATCAGTATCATCAGTGTCATCAGTATCATCAGTGTCATCAGTATCATCAGTGTCATCAGAATCATCAGAATCATCAGTATCATCAGTATCATCAGTATCATCAGTATCAGTGTCATCAGTATCATCAGAATCATAAATGTCATCAGTATCATCAGAATCATCAGAATCATCCGTGTCATCAGAATCATCAGTATCAGTGTCATCAGTATCATCAGAATCATAAATGTCATCAGTATCATCAGAATCATCAGAATCATCAGTGTCATCAGAATCATCAGTATCAGTGTCATCAGAATCATCAGTGTTTGATGATAGTTTTATGAAAATAACAACAGAGAAATAAACCAAAAACAGAAAATAGAGTCACAAAAGTAAAAAGATCAAACACATGAGGACACACACTGCTCTGGTAGCTCTACTGTTTACAGTGTGGTGTGTGATTGTGTGTAATGGTGTGTTGTGGTTGTGTTGTAGTTGTGTGTGGTTGTGTTGTAGTTGTGTGTGGTTGTGTTGTAGTTATGTTGTAGTTGTGTGTGGTTGTGTGTGGTTGATGTGGTGTGTGGTTGTGTTGTGATTGTGTGTGGTTGATGTGATGTGTGGTTGTGTTGTGATTGTGTGTGGTTGATGTGATGTGTGGTTGTGTTGTGATTGTGTGTGGTTGATGTGGTGTGTGGTTGTGTTGCCTCACCAGCTCCATAGTGGCCTCAGTACTGTTCAGCTTCATTGTGTAGATTCCTTCCTCAGCTCCAAGGATCAGGTGTTGGTCTGAGGGAGGAGACCAGCGTATGTATACTGAGACATGTATACTGAGACATGTATACTGAGACATGTATACAGAGACATGTATACAGAGACATGTATAATGAGACATGTATACTGAGACATGTATACTGAGGCATGTATACTGAGACATGTATACTGAGACATGTATACTGAGACATGTATACAGAGACATGTATAATGAGACATGTATACAGAGACATGTATACTGAGACATGTATACTGAGGCATGTATACTGAGGCATGTATACTGAGACATACTGAGACATGTATACAGAGACATGTATACAGAGAAATGTATATTGAGACATGTATACTGAGACATGTATACTGAGACATGTATACAGAGACATGTATAATGAGACATGTATACTGAGACATGTATACTGAGACATGTATACTGAGACATGTATACTGAGACATGTATACAGAGACATGTATACTGAGACATGTATACAGAGACATGTATACTGAGACATGTATACTGAGACATGTATACTGAGGCATGTATACTGAGACATACTGAGACATGTATACTGAGACATGTATACAGAGCATGTATACAGAGAAATGTATACTGAGACATGCATACTGAGACATCCATACTGAGACATGTATACAGAGACATGTATACTGAGGCATGTATACTGAGACATACTGAGACATGTATACAGAGACATGTATACAGAGAAATGTATACTGAGACATGTATACTGAGACATGTATACTGAGGCATGTATACTGAGACATACTGAGACATGCATACTGAGACATCCATACTGAGACATGTATACAGAGACATGTATACTGAGGCATGTATACTGAGGCATACTGAGACATGTATACTGAGACATGTGTACAGAGACATCCATACTGAGACATGTATACAGAGACATGTATACTGAGACATACTGAGACAGAGGTCTGAGTGAGCTACCAGAGAGAGCTACCTTTGGAGTTTGGATGTTCCCATGAGCTGGAGCAGTGGATCTTCAGAGGACAGCCATGGAAGACCTTCTTAAAGTGAATCTGAAACAAAGACGACAGTGAGACATGAGTGTGTGTATGTGTGTGTCTGTGTGTCTGTCTGTCTGTATGTGTGTCTGTCTGTATGTGTGTCTGTATGTGTGTCTGTCTGTATGTGTGTCTGTCTGTATGTGTGTCTGTCTGTATGTGTGTCTCTCTGTATGTGTGTCTGTCTGTATGTGTGTCTGTCTGTATGTGTGTCTGTGTGTCTGTGTGTCTGTGTGTCTGTCTGTCTGTATGTGTGTGTCTGTATGTGTGTCTCTCTGTATGTGTGTCTGTCTGTATGTGTGTCTCTCTGTATGTGTGTCTGTCTGTATGTGTGTCTGTATGTGTCTGTCTGTCTGTGTGTCTGTCTGTATGTGTGTCTGTCTGTATGTGTGTCTGTCTGTATGTGTGTCTGTCTGTATGTGTGTCTGTCTGTATGTGTGTCTGTCTGTATGTGTGTCTGTCTGTATGTGTGTCTGTCTGTATGTGTGTCTGTCTGTATGTGTGTCTGTCTGTATGTGTGTCTGTCTGTATGTGTGTCTGTCTGTATGTGTGTCTGTCTGTATGTGTGTCTCTCTGTATGTGTGTCTCTCTGTATGTGTGTCTGTCTGTATGTGTGTCTGTCTGTATGTGTGTCTGTCTGTATGTGTGTCTGTCTGTATGTGTGTCTGTCTGTATGTGTGTCTGTCTGTATGTGTGTCTGTCTGTATGTGTGTCTGTCTGTATGTGTGTCTGTCTGTATGTGTGTCTCTCTGTCTGTATGTGTGTCTGTCTGTATGTGTGTCTGTCTGTATGTGTGTCTCTCTGTATGTGTGTCTGTCTGTATGTGTGTCTGTCTGTATGTGTGTGTCTGTATGTGTGTCTGTCTGTATGTGTGTCTGTCTGTATGTGTGTGTCTGTATGTGTGTCTCTCTGTATGTGTGTCTGTGTGTCTGTCTGTCTGTATGTGTGTCTGTCTGTATGTGTGTCTGTCTGTATGTGTGTCTGTCTGTATGTGTGTGTATGTGTGTCTGTCTGTATGTGTGTCTGTCTGTATGTGTGTCTGTCTGTATGTGTGTCTGTCTGTATGTGTGTCTGTCTGTATGTGTGTCTGTCTGTATGTGTGTGTATGTGTGTCTGTCTGTATGTGTGTCTGTCTGTATGTGTGTCTGTCTGTATGTGTGTCTGTCTGTATGTGTGTGTGTCTGCTCACTCACTGGTCGGGTCTTCAGGACAGGGCTGTCACACTCCACGCCGTCCTGAAAACACACACACCTCAGTCTTGGGTCTACAGCCTCAATCCTGGGTCTACAGCCTCAGTCCTGGGTCTACAGCCTCAACCCTGGGTCTACAGCCTCAGTCCTGGGTCTACAGCCTCAGTCCTGGGTCTACAGCCTCAGTCCTGGGTCTACAGCCTCAGTCCTGGGTCTTGCATGATCTTATATTGTCCTCCATAGACTCATGTCTGTGCGTTTCCACCTGCAGTGAGTTTCCTCCTTATGAACTGTGTTAAGTCTGTCCGAGGTTAACACTGAGCTCCTGGGTCCTAGGTCCTGGGTCCTGGGTCCTGGGTCCTGGGTCCTGGGTCCTGGGTCCTGGGTCCTGGGTCCTGGGACCTGGGTCCTGAGTCTAGGGTCTGATACCTTTGCGGAGCGCTGTTTCCGGCGTCCTTTAGGAGGCAGGTCCGGAGGTCGAGGAGCTGCTGGAGACCCGGCTGCACAGACAAACACAGACGTGAGATTAAAGTCTTTTCACTCGTCACAAACAGGACACAGAAGTTCACAGTGAAACTTCCATCCATCCATTTTCTATCCCTTTATCCATTTCTGGGTCGGGGGGGTGGCAATTAGAGATACTTACAATTCTTAATCTATCCCTCAGGACTAACACCTCGGGGTAAGAAGCATTTCCTCTTTCAAATAGAATGTTTCAATTTCAATTCTTGAAATTAAGTGAACATTACAAAACAAAATGAGGCTCCTCCTCTACCACCCCCAGGTCAAACACTGGAACAGATTAAAGTGCTTCCTCTGCCAGAGGCAAAGTGCCGGTCCTCCACTTTTCTATTTCTCTGATTAAATGATAACAGACCTGAGCGGAAGCTGGTGCGTGGGAGCGGGACGGGGGGTTTGAGACCGCAGACTGGGGCAGGAGCTGGGGCAGGAGCTGGGGCAGGAGCTGAGGCAGGAGCTGGGGCAGGAGCTGGGGCAGGAGCTGGGGCAGGAGCTGGGGCAGGACCTGGGGCAGGACCTGGGGCAGGAGCTGGGGCAGGACCTGGGGCAAGAGCTGGGGCAGGACCTGGGGCAGGACCTGGGGCAGGACCTGGGGCAAGAGCTGGGGCAGACCTGGGGCAGGACCTGGGGCAGGACCTGGGGCAGGAGCTGGGGCAGGACCTGGGGCAAGAGCTGGGGCAGGAGCTGGCCTGGGCTCCTCTGTCAGACTGTCGTCAGAGCTACTGCTCAGTTTTCCCTGTGAACAGAACACAGATGTTGAGTAATAGCCCCAAAGCTGCTTCCGAAAGGCTTTTAGGACAACACACACACACACACACACGTACACACACACACACACACACACACACACAAGTACACACACACACACACACACACACACACACACACACATGTACACACACACACACACACACACACACACACACATGTACACACACACACACACACACACACACACACACACACACATGTACACACACACACACACACATGTACACACACACACACACACACACACACACACATACCCTGGGAGGCAGCGGGGGTCTGCAGGTGGGGGCTGGATATGGACACGTCTGGAGCTGGTCCTGTGGTTTTGGGATCGGTTGTAAGGTCGGTCTGAAGGACATTAAGACATAGCAACAGTGTCACCAACAGGACACATGGTCAGGAAGACTTCAGGAAGAAACAAACACACTGAGATTGGAAGAACTTTGAAGATGAAAGAAGTACATGTAGCAGGTCCTGGTTCATGGAGCCTACAGGACAACATCGTCTGGGGGTCCGGACTGAGGTGTGTGTGTTGGACTTACTGCTGATGCAGATGCAGCTCTGGCTCTGGTCATATAGGGACCAGGCCCTCAGTAGAGGACCCCCCAAAGGACACCCAGGGAACACGGTCGAACGCCTTCTCCAAATCCACAAACACATGTGACTGAGGCCAACTCCAATGATCTTCGATCATGGAGCGGAGGCAGCCAACCATCTCAGTGACTTCAGGGAGATGGAAGAATCTGCCTCAGGAGGATGTGACGATTGAGGAGAACCTCAAAGTATTCCTTCCACGACAACAATATCCCCAGTCGAGGTCAGCAGCTCTCCACCCGCACCGTACACGGTGTTGGCAAAGAACTGCTTCCCCCTCCTGAGGCGCCGGATGGTTTGCCAGAATCTCTTCGAGGCCGACCGATAGTCATGCTCCATGGACTCTCCAAACTCCTCCCAGTCCCGGGTTTTTGCCTCTGCAACAGCCCGGGCCGCGGCACACTTGGCCTGCCGGTACTGGACGGCTGCCTCATGAGTCCCACGAACCATCATGGCTCGATAGGACTCCTTCTACAGTCTGACGGCATCCCTTACTGCCGGTGTCCACCACCGGGTTCTGCCGCCAAGACCAGCACCAGAGCTGCTGGAGGCCATTGTTCCTGAGGAATATCCCCTGGTTCTGGTTTGTTGTGAGTTGGTTGCAAGGATAAGGCACCAGACACTAAAGCATAATGGAAATGCACTCGAGTAGAGTAGAGTAGAGCTGGTGGAAATAGGGCTTTAAAAGACAGATGGTTCTGTCAGTGACGTCACAGTTGTGTGAGAGAGAGAGAGAGAGAGAGGCTAAACACGTCTGCAGGTCTGTGACAAACTCACACATCCACGTCATCGTAGTCGTCTTCTGAGTCCGAGTGTGTGCTCCTGCAGACACAGAGAGGAGGAGGAGAGGAGGTCAGGGCCAAAAAGAGAGGAGAGGAGGTCAGGAGGATGTAGGGAGGTCAGGGGGAGGTCAGGAGGATGTAGGGAGGTCAGGGCCAGGAGGAGGTCAGGGGGAGGTCAGGGGGAGGTCAGGGGGAGGTCAGGGGGAGGTCAGGGGGAGGTCAGGGGGAGGTCAGGAGGAGGTCAGGGGGAGGTCAGGAGGAGGTTAGGGGGAGGTCAGGGGGAGGTTCTTTTACCTTTCAGAGCTCGGGCCAAAGCGGCTCAGCACCAGCGGGCGCACCTGCAGATACACACTGGTTACACACACTGTACACACACTGAACACACACTGTACACACACAGTACACACACTTAACACACACTGTACACACACTGTACACACACAGTACACACACAGTACACACACTGAACACACACTGAACACACACTGGTTACACACTGTACACACACTGAACACACACTGAACACACACTGAACACACACTGGTTACACACTGTACACACACTGTACACACACTGTACACACACTGTACACACACTGAACACACACTGAACACACACTGAACACACACTGTACACACACAGTACACACACTTAACACACACTTAACACACACTGTACACACACACAGTACACACACTGAACACACACTGAACACACACTGGTTACACACTGTACACACACTGTACACACACTGTACACACACTGAACACACACTGAACACACACTGTACACACACTGAACACACACTGAACACACACTGAACACGCACTGGTTACACACTGTACACACACTGAACACACACTGAACACACACTGAACACACACTGAACACACACTGAACACACACTGAAAACACACTGAACATACACTGGAGAAATTTACATTTAAATGTATCATAATCATCATTATTATTATTATTATTATTATTATTATTATTATTATTATTATTATTGTTATTATTATTATGTATTTGATCCGTGTGGTGTTTTCATGTTTATGTCGAGTAGCGACTCGTACCGTGTCTGATCCTCTCTTGATGGAGGTGCGGCCGGTTGAAGGACACACAAAAGCTGGACACATGAAGACACACACATAAACAGCTACACAACAGAATATGAACACACACACGTGCTGATAGTGATACACTCACGATGAGAGCTGCTGCGCTCGGCGGGTCTGTGTCTGTGCATTGACTGGATCCTGCTCAGAGAAACAGGGGCCACCTGCGTTTGGAGCAACACAACCATATTACAATAGACACACACATGGCATAGTACAACACACACAGCTGTGTGTAGAGAGAGCGACCTCCAGATCCTCGTCGTCGATTGCCGGGCAGGACCGCAGCTTTTCCGGGTTCTGGAACTGATCCAGCAGATCCAGGGTTAGCTCCTGGCTCAGACCAGACTGAGTCACAAACGGGTTCTAGGACAAAGATCAGAGTCAGTACTGGGCTCTAGTACTGTACATGGTACTGTACACTGTAGTAGTACTGTAGTAGTACTGTACACTACTATGTACTCTACATAGTAGTGTACATAGTAGTGTACATAGTAGTGTACATAGTACTGTACACATACTGTACATGTACTATACATAGTACCAGGAGACAAGAAGAAAAAGACCAGGGCCAGACCATAGAGGCAAGTCTCACCGTAAGCATCTTGGAAGCACTGGGTCTCCTGCTGGCCTTCTTTACCAACATGGCCTTCACAAAACTGTAGAAGGTGGAGGACCTACACACAGAGACATGTGAGGACCAGGACCTCTGATACACACAAGACATGTGAGGACCAGGACCACTGAGTAAGTAAGTAAGTAAGCTTTATTTATATACCGCCTTTCACAGACCAATACTGATACACACACAGAGACATGTGAGGACCAGGACCACTGATACACACACAGAGACATGTGAGGACAAGGACCACACACAGAGACATGTGAGCACCAGGACCACTGATACACACAGAGAGACATGTGAGGACCAGGACCACACACAGATACACACACAGAGACATGTGAAGACCAGGACCACACACAGATACACACACAGAGACATGTGAGGACCAGGACCACTGATACACACACAAAGACATGTGAGGACCAGGACCACTGATACACACACAGAGAGACATGTGAGGACCAGGACCACACATAGATACACACACAGAGACATGTGAGGACCAGGACCACTGATACACACACAGAGAGACATGTGAGGACCAGCACCACACACAGATACACACACAGAGACATGTGAGGACCAGGACCACACACTGATACACACACAGAGACTTGTGAGAACCAGGACCACACACTGATACACACACAGAGACATGTGAGGACCAGGACCACACACTGATACACACACAGAGACTTGTGAGAACCAGGACCACACACAGATACACACACACAGAGACATGTGAGGACCAGGACCACTGATACACACACAGAGAGACATGTGAGGACCAGCACCACACACAGATACACACACAGAGACATGTGAGGACCAGGACCACTGATACACACACAGAGAGACATGTGAGGACCAGGACCACACACTGATACACACACAGAGACATGTGAGGACCAGGACCACACACTGATACACACACAGAGACATGTGAGGACCAGGACCACACACTGATACACACACAGAGACTTGTGAGAACCAGGACCACACACAGATACACACACACAGAGACATGTGAGGACCAGGACCACTGATACACACACAGAGAGACATGTGAGGACCAGCACCACACACAGATACACACACAGAGACATGTGAGGACCAGGACCACACACTGATACACACAAAGCGACATGTGAGGACCAGGACCACACACTGATACACACACAGAGACTTGTGAGAACCAGGACCACACACAGATACACACACAGAGAGACATGTGAGGACCAGCACCACAGATACAAACACAGAGAGCTACACAGAGGCATACAAAATTATGGGGTTAAATACTGTGATATTTCCAGTTATTTTTTAGTTTTATCTAGAGGTACAAGTGGTGAATGACTCTTTTAGTTAGTTAGTTTAATGCTACAGTACATAACATTTGAGTGGCCAGATCTGCAGCTGTTTTTTGATCCATCCACACTGATCCCCTGCCCTTCTGTCTAAACCTTCTTCTTTTTGTAACTATCAAACTCCAATCACACATCATTCACATATATGCTCTCAGACGCGATGCTGTGTTTTACCATTTGGATTTGTCCTTGAGTTTCGGAGGCTGGTACCCGCTCTTGGACATGAGGAACAAGACCCTGCAGACAAAGTGCAGTTACTTCTGCTACGTAGCTAAAGCTATGCTATGTCCTAGCGTCAAAATATGGGAAAAAAGCCATGTGACAGGGAGGGGGGTGGGGTACCTTAGAGGGTGCAGGTGGAGGGGGTGTACCTGAGAGGGTGCAGGTGGGGGGGTGTACCTGAGAGGGTGCAGGTGGGGGGGTGTACCTGAGAGGGTGCAGGTGGGGGGGGTGTACCTGAGAGGGTGCAGGTGGGGGGGGTGTACCTGAGAGGGTGCAGGTGGGGGGGTGTACCTGAGAGGGTGCAGGTGGGGGGGGTGTACCTGAGAGGGTGCAGGTCGAACAGAGGGGGCTGCAGCTCAGCCATCTCGATAGCAGTGATGCCCAGAGACCAGACGTCACATAGTTCATTGTAGCCTCCTTTGATCTCCACGGCAGCCACCTCCGGAGCCATCCTACACACACACACACACACACACACACACACACAGACGCACAAATACACACAGTTACACACACACATGCGTGCACACACAGATGAAAAAGCAAAGACTGTCTCAGGTCCAGCTGAACATGAATGACCCAAAAGCCCTACTTCGCCCAACTCTACTCTACTCATGGGCAACAGTAGCTCAGTTGGTAGAGAATTGGCCTTTGAGCCTGAAGGTCGTAGGTTCGAGCCCACCACGGGACCTTCTGCACCGACTCCCACTTTCTGCTGTCGTTGTGTCCTTAGGCAAGACACCCATTAGAATGAGTCTGGTGTGTGTGTGAATGGTTGGTGGTGGTGGGAGGGGCTTCTGTCAGTGTGCCCCAGGGCAGCTGTGGCTACAGTAGTTTATCACCACCGTGTTTGGAGTGAATGAATAATGACATGTAAAGCGTCTTTGAGTGTCCAAAAAAGCGCGATATAAAACCGATGCATTATTATTATTCTTACTCTACTCTGCAAGTATCTGTGCCCACAACACAACAAAACACCTTGAGAAATTCCTCGGTAACCATGGCTTCCAGCAGCACTCTAACCTATCACCAGTCACAGAACCAGGGCTAAGACCTGGTACCGGTTAAACAGGGTTATGTAAAACTCCCAATTGAGGTAAAGTAGGGTCAACCAGAGTAGAGTAGAGTAAAGTAGAGTAGAGTAGAGTAGGGTAGGGCAGAGCAGGGCAGGGCAGAGCAGGGGCAGGGCAGAGCAGGGCAGGGCAGAGCAGGGGCAGGGCAGAGCAGGGGCAGGGCAGAGTAGAGTAGAGTAGGGTAGAGTAGAGTAGAGTAGAGTAGAGTAGGGTAGAGTAGAGTAGAGTAGGGTAGGGCAGGGCAGGGCAGGGCAGACCAGGGCAGAGCAGAGCAGGGGCAGGGCAGAGTAGAGTAGAGTAGGGCAAAGTAAAATTGCATGAACCTCAGTTGAGTGAGAAAGTGAGGAAGACGAGGCAGTGAAGGACCCACCAATATGGCGTCCCGATGAAGGACATGCGGCGAGCCAGAGTGGCGGTGATCTGAGCCGAGATGCCAAAGTCCGCTGCACAGAGACGAACATCACACTCAACAATCACGTCTCACACCTGTAGGCTCTCTCTCTGATCCCTGTAGGCTCTCTCTCTGATCCCTGTAGGCTCTCTCTCTCTCTGATCCCTGTAGGCTCTCACTCTGATCCCTGTAGGCTCTCACTCTGATCCCTGTAGGCTCTCTCACTCTGATCCCTGTAGGCTCTCACTCTGATCCCTGTAGGCTCTCACTCTGATCCCTGTAGGCTCTCACTCTGATCCCTGTAGGCTCTCACTCTGATCCCTGTAGGCTCTCTCTCACTCTGATCCCTGTAGGCTCTCACTCTGATCCCTGTAGGCTCTCACTCTGATCCCTGTAGGCTCTCTCTCTGATCCCTGTAGGCTCTCTCTCTGATCCCTGTAGGCTCTCACTCTGACCCCTGTAGGCTCTCTCTTTCTCTGATCCCTGTAGGCTCTCTTATCCCAGTAGGCTCTCACTCTGATCCCTGTAGGCTCTCTCTCTGATCCCTGTAGGCTCTCACTCTGATCCCTGTAGGCTCTCTCACTCTGATCCCTGTAGGCTCTCACTCTGATCCCTGTAGGCTCTCACTCTGATCCCTGTAGGCTCTCACTCTGATCCCTGTAGGCTCTCACTCTGATCACTGTAGGCTCTCTCTCACTCTGATCCCTGTAGGCTCTCACTCTGATCCCTGTAGGCTCTCACTCTGATCCCTGTAGGCTCTCTCTCTGATCCCTGTAGGCTCTCTCTCTGATCCCTGTAGGCTCTCACTCTGACCCCTGTAGGCTCTCTCTTTCTCTGATCCCTGTAGGCTCTCTGATCTCTGTAGGCTCTCACTCTGATCCCTGTAGGCTCTCTCTCTGATCCCTGTAGGCTCTCACTCTGATCCCTGTAGGCTCTCACTCTGATCTCTGTAGGCTCTCACTCTGATCCCTGTAGGCTCTCACTCTGATCCCTGTAGACTCTCTCTCACTCTGATCCCTGTAGGCTCTCACTCTGATCCCTGTAGGCTCTCTCTCTGATCCCTGTAGGCTCTCACTCTGATCCCTGTAGGCTCTCACTCTGATCCCTGTAGGCTCTCACTCTGATCCCTGTAGACTCTCTCACTCTGATCCCTGTAGGCTCTCTCTCTGATCCCTGTAGGCTCTCTCTCTGATCCCTGTAGACTCTCTCTCTCTCTGATCCCTGTAGGCTCTCTCTCTGATCCCTGTAGGCTCTCACTCTGATCCCTGTAGGCTCTCACTCTGATCCCTGTAGGCTCTCTCACTCTGATCCCTGTAGGCTCTCTCTTTCTCTGATCCCTGTAGGCTCTCTTATCCCAGTAGGCTCTCACTCTGATCCCTGTAGGCTCTCTCTCTGATCCCTGTAGG